ATAATAGATTCAAATTATATTATCAATACCTAAGGGCTAGAGTAAAATAGGAAATAAAAACATAATTTTGACTAACAATGGAGAATTCCATTATTTAAAACAAACAGAAGATTCCTAAAATTTTAAATAATACTATACGTACATCATTCTTTACCACTTGGATGACACTCCTTCCTATGTGGAAGAAATATGTGCAATGATATGGTGGTGTTCAAAATTAAGAGTATGAACGTTGTCACGTGAAAGATAGTAAAGAAATGTCTAACGAAAAGTGTACATGTAGTGTGATAGTAAAGTTTTTAAAATTAAAGTTTCTGAAATTGTTATTAAAATTTAGCCAACATTTAACGAGGTGAAAGTAGCAGAATGAGACAAAAACTTAGGGTGCGTTTGATTGTAAGAATGGAAATTGGTGGAAAGAAAATGATTTCTGGGAAAAATAATTGTCTAGAAAATATTTTGTGGGGAATGGTTAATTAAGTGTATTTGATTGATATAATTTTCTATCAGGAAAATTTTTAAGTTTTTTATTCATTTGACTTTGTTTTACATGGAAAGTGTATATTAAAGTAATAATTTTTTCACATTTGGTTATAAAATTTGTTTCCATTGCCAAAAAGTAAATTTCCAAGAAAATCATTTTTTAATCAAAATTTAGTATCTGTTTGACTTTGTTTTACATGAAAATTGTTAATTAAAATGATTTTTTTTTTACAATTTGTTATAAAATTTGTTTCAATTGCCAAAAAAAAAAGAGCTGGAATTCCATTTTTCCCACCAAAATGGTTGAAAAGCTAATTCCACAAATTCCATAAAAATGTGCACGTGTTGAGTAAAGTAATAAAAAAATTTACATTGCAAAAAATGACTATCAAACAAGCATTTCCATTTTCCATGGAAAATCATGACTATCAAACATAGCCTAACATCACCTCTTGTGATTCGATTTAAAATTTCGAAAAATTTAGCCCTATTTCTATTTTTGAAAAAATATATTTTTTTGAAACTCATTTTTCAAAAATAATATTATGCCTGAGTTAAAAAAATTTTCAAAAAATAAATTACACATTAATTCAAAATTTTTTTATTATTTTTAATCACACATTTTCAAAAAATCACCACTCCAAAATCAAACAAAAATTCAATTTTTTATTTTAAGATTCAGGATCAAACTAATTTTACTTGAAACCGACCAAATCAACTAGTATTATCCAACATGATTTGAGTGATTCTGTAAAAAAACATGTTTTACAACACACGCATTTATGAGTAGTGAGTTAGTCTTTATTGTTTGAAAATAGCAAGTTATTTCTTAACATTTTATTGTAATTGCATGATTAGTAAAAGGGAAAATTACATATTTAAGAGAATAAATTTAGCCTATTTCAAAAATAAGAA